AATTTAAAATACTTATGACAAATAAGGGATATTCCTTAAAAATTATTTTCGAAAAATTATACAATTATTTATTACACATAATTTTTAAATATATTTAATAATTTTAATTTTTTATTACAATTAATTTTTTTATAAAAATATAAAATATAAAAAAACATTTATAAAAAAATAAAAGAGATTTAAAGTAAAGTAATTTACTTTAAAAATGAAAATTTGAATAAATTTTATAAAAAAAATATTTTTTTTGTAAGGAGAGTAAAATAAAAAATATGTATTTAGTTTTTTAATTTATAAAGGATGAAAATTTTCTATAAATTTTAAAAATAAATACGAAAAAAAAAGAAATCGAAGTAATTTACTCTAAGTTGAGGGTGGTCCCCACGAACTCTCCACTTGGAATAACCCCACACACGTAATTCCGCCACGTGGTTCCTCTGGTCCCCAAATTGGTCCAAACCCATTAACTAGTGCCACGTGTCAACGTGTCCTTTTCTGCAAGGTAATGACGTTATTCGTCCTTCCCCTTTATTTCCTTTATCAACTTTTCCTACTTCACCTGTCATTAAATGATAAACATAACCTGATAAATAAGATTAATTAATAAAAATTTTAAATGAACCTAAGTAAAAATGTATGTAATTATAAATATCAAATATGATAAGAAATAGTTTTATTTTGATATTAAATATTATATTTTAGTACATAAAAATATTTTTAAAAATAAAAATTTTAAATTATTTCATTTTATATATCTCTTTATTATAAAAGAATTAAATTTAATTTTTATTACATTATTTATTACAAATTTTATTTTTAATCGTCTACTTATCTTTCATGGTGGTACTGAAAATTCGATTTTTATCTGATCTTACTAATTAGAATGAAGATCGATTAAATCACCAACTCAAAATTAGTGGAGCAAAATAATAAGTAGAAACTGTCAAAATTGACTATGAAATAGTATAAGAAAATTGGTCAATTGTTTTTCTTTTTTAATTATATTTTACCTTTTTAATATATATATATATATATATATATATATATATATATATATATGTGTGTGTGTGTGTGTGTGTGTGTGTTACTATTATTTAATTATAACTTTTTGAAATTTGATTTTATTATAATTAAACTGCTAAATCTTATTTTAATTATTTGAAGAAACACTTAACTTTCATATATATAATGTAATATAGAAAATCGAAAATACATGCAATTAAAAAATATTAAATACCAAATTAAATATGATAATTTAAAAAATTGTCTTGAGTACTTTCTTGTCTTTTAAAAGGAAATAACAAAATTTTCTGTCATTGAGCATACTACATAATGAAGGTTTAACTGCAGCAACAGATCATCCGAATCGAACACAAACAATGTATGTATTTTTATAATTTTTAATGTATTTAATTTTGTTACTTTAAAAATATGAAATATTGAGTATTTTAAATTTACTTTTGTCTTTAAATATTTTCATTAAATTAAATAAGATAATAATAATAATAATATTTTAAGAATACTTTTGTTTAATATAAATAAACAAAAATACTTAATAAATTGATTTATTTTTCTAAAATTTAAAGACAATATTTTGATATAGAAAAAGTTGAAGTACATCGGTAACATTTTGTTTGCAGTTGAATTTTGAAAGTGAATTATATTCATAGATGATAATTGATTATTAGTTTTTGACTAAATCTTTTATAATTTTAAATTATTAATAAAAGGTTAAGGTATACATTTAATTTATATAGATGACACTCGTCTACAAAATAATATTAATACTTGAAAAAACTACACTACATGAATGTTTTATTACATTTTGCTTCATAAATCATTTACATCTAATTTAACTCCTCTCTTCCTCCCCCAATTACACCTTATATATTACCTCAAATTTTTTATTATCTAAGTTTTTAGCTACAAAGGCATCTAATACCAATATACTTATGATTAAATTATAGTTTTCAAGAACCATAAGAATCCTAGTGCAAAATCTCCCATCCTCCCATTCTTGACCAATGGCTTAATACCTTTTGTCTAAGTTAAAAAATTTGAATTAATTTATTAATTTAATTAAGCTAACACTTTGGTGTAGAATGTGTGTATGTGTTTACTAGCCACTTCATTTACTCTTTAAAATTAATTACAATTTCATTATCTATAGTGTGGTATTTCTTATGAATGGTTGACAAATGTTGAAGTGAGGCTGTGGAAGTATCAACCAGCCTCAAATTATACATCCATCACTATATATCTAAAGTAATAGGAAGCATAACACTTATAAATGTAAGTGGAGATTGTGGTTGAAAAAAGAAGGGCCATATCTATGGTGCTGAAGAGTTCAATGCTAGATATTATCAATAACTCTCCCACTTCTCTTAAGAGTTAATCTTTGACCATTAGCAAACAACGATCGAATTAAAAAGAAGAGTGCTGCATAAAACACATTGGATACGTATAATTAACAGTTTTTAAGTTTTTAATATATTAGTTGTTTTAATTATGTCTCTCTCAATTTTTCTCTACTTAAAACTCTTGATTTTTTAAAACATTCGTAAATTGAACCTATTTAAACCATTTTAACTATTCTGACTTTTCTCAAAATCCACCAAATCATGACATTTAACCAAATTTAAAATTACCCAAATTTTACCATCTTTCAAACTTTAACTTTGTACCTTACCGAATCTTCCAAACTTAATAAAAAATTGATTTCAGAACCATTGAAAATTATCTAATTCCTCAAATTTATCCTAAACCTATACTCATCTGAGTAAAAAAAAAAATTATATGAAAAAAATTCGTAGAATAATTTATTATAATACTTAAAAAAGATAAATTAAGTTTGAGTAAAAAAGGTTATTGATAGACTAAGATCACACATTAATTATTATAAATGTTCTAAAAATGTTGTTGAGTCAATTTAAAATAATATTTATTATTTTTAATTATCATTATTTTATTTTGGTTTTAGTTTCATATATTTTATTTGAAAATAAATAAAATGTAAAAGTTATATAAATGGTTAAAAAAACTAGTTAGAGAAATCTTAAAAGAAAATAAACTTTTAACTAAGTTTAATTACAGTACCAGATATATTTATTTTTGTTAAATAAAATTTTTAACTAATAAAATAGGAACACATTAATCTCATTAAAATTTTGTAACTAAGTAGCTAGCTATTTTTACTTAAACATTTCAAATTAAAATCAATTTTCGTATGAAAATGTTAGTGTCACATGCATAAATTATGAAACAATTGAAGTAATTATCATAATTAGTTAGTAGTGTTTACCAAGATAATATAAATTGAGTTAAGCTGTAATGACTTATGTTAAATATACTAATGTCTCAAATGTATATTTTTAAGACTAAGAATATTATTATTAAATAAATTTATAATCAACAGAAATTAATTTAAATGACAAGCGATTTGATATTGCTTAAGTAAAGTTTTAAATTTAAATCTTTGTATATGTAAAAAAAAATTATTAATAAACTTATATCCAAATTAATCTTGGATTAGAAACTTAAAAAAAATTATAAAAAAAAATTGAATAACAAGAGAGTTATCATCAATTTTTTAAAGAATTTCCAAAATTCTCATAAACTATTATATGCGTAATATTTCTCATGATAATGAATTTCAAATAAAATATTAGAAATGCTACATTTTATTTTTTAAAAAACAATACCCAAAAATATTTTTAAAAATTATATACTAGACATAAAAGTCTCATATTGTCAAATTCACTTTCTCACATATAACTTTGCAAAATCTTAAAATAATCACATCCTTAATAAAAATAGTTGTTTATCGCATATAAGTTTATATAATTTTAGAAGGTCGAAAAAGTATATTTAAAAGGACTAATTTGGTATATATTTAGTGCAATTAATTTTATTAAAAAATATTTTCTTCACAAAAATAATCTATTTCTAAATAAATACTAAAATAATGTCAATTTTTAATAAAATAAAAATACATTTAAGACTCGATTGGTAAATATAATAAAAAATAAATAAAATATATATTTTATCCTATCCAATAAAAAGCCTTAAGTTAATAAAATAATATGGGAGGTGTAGAATCTACATTATTTTTTCTATGCCTGTTTGTTTTAAATTTGAGTATAATTAATTTTAATAAAATCAATTTAATGTTTTTAAATATAATTAAAATATGTGTTTAAATTAATTTTAATTATAAATTATATGCTAAAACATATGTCAGAATAAGAAAAATTAATCATGGCCCCTTTTGTCTTATTGTCATAGAATCAATTGTTATATTTTGATGCTTTTTTTTTTCAACATTTTCATAATTAATTCAATTTAACTCTATTCTAATACCAGACCAAATGAGTGCATTGATTGTTTGTAAATAGTAATTATATTTATATATCAAATTTATACCTTTTATTTTTCGTCTTTTTATTCAATTATATTATTTATCACATCTTCTTTATTATTATTATTATTATTATTTATATTAGGCTTTTTTTTTGGAGTAGATGACTGACATTGTTGTTACTAGAACATAGTTGTCATTTTTAATATATATTTAATAAATTTTATTCAATAATATTAAAAATATTGAAAATAATATATTAAAAAATGTGTTCGGAACGTTTGTGTTATTTCTATCTAACTTACCAACCAAAAGAAAGAGTAATCCTAAACTTCTCCCCCTCCGTTTTCTTCCAAATCGCCCATCCAAACAAGCCCTTGTCCAAAAAGGCTGTTTGCCGACCCAATTTATAAATCCCAGAAAACCACCTGAAAGACAACCACCTCATCAGTGCTTTCTCTAACCATCAATTATTTATTTTTATATTATACAAGGATACCTTAAAAGTAATTTTTTATTATTTAATTTTATAATATAATATAATTTCAATCCATCATATATATGTTTTTTTAAATAAAGGATATTTTTATAATTTTATTCCCCCTATTTAAAACTCTCACTGTATTTGGATTTTTTCCCTGTTACAGTAACGCACAGCAACGTCCCTTCTTCCCTCTACGTTTCCCTTCTTCTCTTGCATTCTCTTCTCTTCTCTCTTCAGTTCCTACTCCTACAACACAACACAACAACTACACCAAACACAAACACACTTTCTCGTTTTTCTCCATATCTTAAGCTTCGCCACCATGAACCAATAGCTACCTCGTATATTGTTCTCTCTGACACACACATACACACTTTCTCTGTCTTTGTTCTCTGTGTTTGTTACATGGCTTACCACAACCAACACCTCTCCCAACAAGACAACCCACTTCACTATTTCCCACACCACTCCCTCCGTTCCGTATTACCAGACCAACAACAGCTACCCTCCTCACCCGACCCTACCTCCAAACCTCCCTCCGATCCACACCCTCTCCAAACCGCACCCAATTGGCTCAACGACGCGCTCCTTCGCCCTCACTACACTGACAACACCACCAACAACAACGACAACGACAACAACAACAACGTTAACAACAACGGCTCCAATTTCCTAAACCTCCACTCCACCTCCTCGGCCCAATGGCTGGCCCGCCCAATCCTCCCCCGCAACCGTAGCGAGGTCATCGACGACGTCGCTGCCACCGCCGGCGACTCCCTTATCGCCGGCGGCGAATCCTCGGATTTGAAGGAAGGGAAAGGAGAGGGTGACGGGGTGAACTTGCAGATAGGGAGGTGGAAGGCGGAGATTCTGGCGCATCCGATGTACGAACAGTTGCTGTCGGCACACGTGGCGTGCTTGCGGATCGCCACGCCAGTGGACCAGTTGCCGAGGATCGATGCTCAGTTAGCACAGTCTCAGAATGTGGTCGCTAAGTATTCCGCGTTCGGACACGCTGCTCAGAACATGCTCGGAGATGACAAAGACCTTGACCATTTCATGGTATCTTCACTTTCCCCCAATTTTCTTCGTCATTTCTCTATTTGTTTCTTAATTCGCATTATAAATAAATAAATTTCCCAATATTTATTTTTTTAATTAATTATAATACCAATAAAATGTTATCTCGTTAAGAGAGGTCGGCGCTATTAAAAACCGGTTTTGGATTAATTAATTAATTATATTTTTGTTCTATATTTTATTTTTATTTTCAATTTCTGCGTGTCTAGTATGGAAATGGCGTGGATTTTATATTGCAGCTGATGAAAGACAAAATTCGCTTTATATTGCAAATAGAAATCTTAACTGACTTGTTTTATGGCCTTCGATACCAATGCTTTTTTGGGTGATTAACGAGAAATGAAACTGAAGGAGAACGAAAATTGTCTTATAAGAAGTAAAATAGTGATAATGAAATAAATGAAAGATGGTTTTTGAGCTTGATTCTGTGCTGAATTAGGTATTTTGATTCTAATCTGTAATTAGGATATTTTATATTTTGCATTGCGTTTATGAGGGGGTATTTGTCAGTTATTGAGTTTTCTCTACATTTTCTTCTTCCAATTGCATCCTTATTTACGTTATGGTTATATATTTTTTCAGTCATCACTTATTGGGCAAAAGCAGTGGTTAATTTTTCTTCTGCAAGCTTTTAACACTTTCTCTTTCGATCTTCTGTCAAGACATCTTGGTGACTGTAGTGTGATTAAACATGTTTTGAGTAATATTGTGAAGAAATTTCTTTCGATATGTTGGATCAGCATAATTCGTGGAGCTTGATTGTAATATGATTTTTGTCCCCTATATTTTATATGGGAGACTAAGCTGGCTGGCGGTAGATAAGTTTATTAGCTATTATTGTGTTATCATCTTTGATATTTTCCTGCTTGATGATGCAGTCGCACTATGTTTTGTTGCTTTGTTCCTTCAAAGAACAATTGCAGCAACATGTACGGGTCCATGCAATGGAAGCAGTAATGGCTTGTTGGGAGATAGAGCAATCCTTACAAAGTCTAACAGGTACACAAAAAATCTCTTCTTTTAGTCCCTTTTACATCTTAGAATAATATAAATTAAGGTTTGTTGCCTGATAGAATGGAAATAACTTCACATTATTTTCTAACCAGCTTTTTGTCTATTGTATGTTCCATTGATTATGTTGCTGCTGGCAATTGAAAATTGTCGAAAATTGGTAGCTACTAGTGGTGTGGTCTCTTGTAAGACTATGTACTTCTTTATCAGTCCAAAATTCCTGTTATCAAGGAACCGGCAAGTGATTCCCTCACCTAAGAATATACAGTGACAAGTTTTTATTATTTATGAGGAACGTTTCAGAAAAGTAAGAACCTGATGGATTTAAAGATAAGACTTTCTATTTTCATTTCATTATATAAAGATTTATAAAAATGTCACTTTTTTTTGTTTTTAAAAATTTAAATGAAGACTTGTGAAATCAACCAAAAAAACCCTGTTTTCAGTGTTTCTTCCAAATCTTTGAAAGTAAAAAGGTGTTCTTTTTAATATTTATGCAAACAGGATTGCCAGTGAGTTGTGCTCGCATGTTTTAATTACCTGACTAGGCTAAAATTCAGTTGATGGTATTCTGAATTTTAGAGATGGCTGCTGCATTCTAAGAGGAAACAGGAAGTACATGGCTGCATGAATTAAGTTTCTTTTTCTCTACTCATAAATGGTATATGAATTTGGAAAAACCTTAATCTTACTAACCCTTATTAACACTGAAATATATGTAAACAAATAGTGAAGATTTACCAAACCACATGCATTGGAGCTTTGCAAAAGGTAGAATGATGATAAGTTCCACTGTTTGAAGAAAATATTGAAGAATTCATACTGCTTTGGCTTGTTATCCATATACTTACTGTGTTCTTTGATTCCTAACTATTGTGTTCTCTGAACAAAGTCTTCAACCTTTGGGTTCAGTTAGCCAACATCTCAAGCACAAATTAAACATTGAAAGCCAAATCTTTTTTTAGATGACGAGTACTAAACCGGTAAATGCTCTCACGTGCTGCGTGATGAACAGGAGTTTCACCTGGAGAAGGTACTGGAGCAACTATGTCTGAAGATGAAGATGACCAAGTAGATAGTGATGCCAATCTCTTTGATAATAGTTTGGACGGGCCAGATAGCATGGGATTTGGCCCTCTTGTTCCTACAGAGAACGAAAGGTCCCTTATGGAGCGTGTAAGACTAGAATTAAAGCATGAATTAAAACAGGTAAAGAATGTTGAATTGTTGATGGATTTTCATTTTCCCATCTTTTTAAATCTCTTACCGTATGACTTACCTCTTCATTTTTACAATTTTATCTTACAGGGTTATAAGGAGAAAATTGTGGACATCCGAGAGGAAATTTTACGCAAGAGACGGGCTGGGAAACTTCCTGGTGACACAACCTCTGTTCTTAAAGCTTGGTGGCAATCACATTCCAAGTGGCCTTACCCTACGGTATCTTTGATCAACAATAACTCATATTGGCATTGCATAATTTTTTAGTTGACACAAGTATTGGATTCCTAACTAACAACAAAGTCATTATAAGTTTATATGGAGAAGTTATATGAGGGATATTTTGACAAAAGTTGAGAAACAAGTTGATTTTAACTTATGAGAGAAATTTGATTCTTTTTATACAAACTTCATAGTATTTTCTACAAGTTTATCCAAATGCTCACGTTCCAAAATGTTATTTTTCATACATTAAATTCTGCAATGTTATTGCTAAACTTCTCAGAATGACGCTTTAATTGAATGAATTTATAGAACAAGCGAAGGTTCCAAATTTATCCTAGAATTCAAAGAACATGAGGAAGGATTTTCCATATTTGTTTAGTATTAGCACAACATTAAGCTTAGTATTTGCTGTCTAAACTCTACATTGAAGTTACTCCATAAGATTTATCAGGCGGCTTTGTTTTGAAATTATCTGCTATATCCTCACAGATCGCATATTTTACTCAACCTAATTATGTGTTTTTTAGGAGGAAGATAAGGCAAGGTTGGTTCAGGAAACTGGATTGCAATTGAAGCAGATTAATAATTGGTTTATCAATCAACGGAAGAGGAATTGGCACAGCAATCCTTCAACTTCTACTGTCTTGAAGAGCAAGCGCAAAAGGTATTCCTATCAAAACTAATCTTTATATTGCCTCAAGGTTATTGCTTATTATACTCACATCCTTTAGTTTAGGGAAGTACACTCCTTTGCTCTGTTATTTTTGAAGGGACTTTGTGTAAGGTTCATAGACAAACTAAGGAGGAATGTGTGATTCTTTGAACAAAGAAAGATGTTGGGTGTTGGAGCAATGCATAAAGAATGATAATAAGATCTAACTTAAAATGGAAGTTAGTGTAATTTCTTTTTGGTCTTTTTGTTAAAGTATCTTTTATTGAATTATACAAATTAGTAATAATAGTCAAAACTAATTTTTTTTTTTAAATCCTATAACACGTCATTTTTATCCTCATTTAGTCTCACTGCTTAAACATTTACTCATATTAGTGTTAATTTAAGTTCGCAACAATTCTATTAAGAAAAATAAATAAATTCTTCTTAAAAATTATAACATATCTTATAATAAGAACCACTAAAATCTTTTGGATGATGATTTGTAAAAGGAATGAAAAAAATATCTTTTATTGTATTATTTGGTAGGAGATGAAATGTAGGAATCTTCATGGCACTTACCGGGAAAAAAAACAAAAATCAAGCGGCGAGAGAAAAGGGGGGAAGAATTGAAATCACAAATTTTCATCTTACCCCTTAGCAATATTGTTTATTAATTGATTCATAATTGATTGAACTTTGCACCAATCATGATTTGAAAAGAAGTAATGCAGGTGATAACATGTGATGATGGGTACATGTAAATGGAGCAAAAGTCAAAAAACCAATTCCTGAAGGTACTCTGTCAGCTCTTTCTCGTTGTTCAATCATGTTGCGGGAGAAGGGACTCATGGAGAGACAACGAGAAAGAACCACATTTTGTTTCTGTTTGATGGGCCATGGTTGAAACAGATAAGGAGCAAATATTGGTGAACCATTTTACTTGTGCTTAGAAGGCCTGCAGATATAGTTTTAGTGCTTGTGATGCTACATAATTAGAAGTTAAATTAGGAATTATATACCGAAACCAAATTGGGTCACTCAATAGAATTATGATTTTGTTTATGCTATATTGCTTTGTGAAATATATAAATATATAGTAGCGAGGTGTTATGGGTGTAAAGTAATAATTTGTGCATTTTTCCTTACAATTATACTAATCTTGTTCTTGTTCTTTCATTTGGTGTTTGGGATGCGGAGATCAATTTGTTGTAGAATTATCAATTATGGTATAATGTAATCTTTTACTACTTACAATTTAAATATTCGTTGTCACATGCTCCTTGTCATAAACTCTATCTTAGACGAGGTTGGAAGATAAATAATATCAATGTGGTGGGTTCTTGTGATTTGACTTGTAGATGGATTTTCAGTGTGAATTTTTGAGTGGAATAGACACCAAATGGAAATAAAGTGGATATTTTCTATTTAACAGGATTTGTGATAATATCTGTCTTTTAGTGATCTTTGTCTGATTCAGAAATTTGATGAGTGTAGGTAATAAACACTAATATAATATACACATTGCACACGAGAAGGGAACTAGTTCGAAGCACACAATCATTGGACATTGAATTTGTGTTTATAAACATTTTCTTACACTTCAATACTATGTCGCTAATTATTGCTTTCAACAAAATGATAACGCCGGCACAAGATTGTTGACATTTCAAATGATGTAATCATAATTTATACATTGCATTGAATTTAACTACTGTTTGTGCTGGTCTCGTTTTGACACCATGCAAGCACTTTATGAATGGATTCTTCGCTATTATAATTGGATTGGACTAAATAAATAATTTTAAAGAATGTAAAATTCTGAAGTGAATCTTGGTTAAATCAACACACCAAAAAAATGCCGTAGGATTTCCAATCCCCTCCATTCTTCTTCGTTGCATGCAGTGTGCTTGTGTTTTTCTCCCACCTTCACGTAACTTCAGCTAATGTCCCCTGCATTCATCTGTGCATGGTAGCTTGAGAGAAAATTTGTACTATTGATAATGTAAATTTTTTGTATCTTCATTTAATCATGTGTTGCTATATCAATAAAGATTATTAACTTTTATAATAATTAATTCATAAGTTATTTATGGTGTATTTTTATTAGTTGGCAGTAAAAAAATATTTAGACAGATAATTTACCAAAAGTAATCTCTATTTATAAATACACTGTACTTCGAAAAATTATTTTCTTGAGAAATAAAATAGGTGATTTATTGGAGAATATAGTTTTGACTTTTTTTCTACAAAAAACTTAAATAAAGATAAATTTGAAAAATTAAATTAAATTAAAAGTGGTAAACAACCATAGACATATTAAATGTTAATAAACAATAACTTCACTCATATTTGAAGGACAAAAATTAAATGATTTTAATTCTTGTTCAAAAGTAGATATATCCAAGCATTAATAACTCCAATCTTGAAATTAAACTTAGTATCTTTGTCACCAAGTCACCCTTATTCACTTATAAAAAGAAATGAAAATAATATAATATTTGATTAGAGAGCATTCTTTAATCAATTTTAGAGTAATGCACCGTTTACTTTAAAGAAAGAAATTTTGGTAAAAAAAAAAAGTATACCTTGTTTAATTTGAAAAAGGATTAAAATAAATAAATCTATTAAATCAAGAATAATCTTATTTAAATAATCTAAAAAGTTCTGCTTTCTCCAAATCTTTTTCCATCACTTTTATTTTTCTTGAAAATTTCATTATAAAAATAAAACACATAACTAATTGGTTGATATTGAAACTATATATATATATATATATATCATTCTAATTCAATTTAGATTTGACTCAGATCGCGTATCTGTATGTGGTGTAAGTAAGTTTATTATTAAAGATCTTTTATATATATAGAACTCAAAACTTTCCTTAAGTAATATCGAATTGCTTGTTACGTAGACTAATCTCTATTCAACATTGTTGTCCTTTTGTTGTTGGTGCCAAATGTCAATGCATGTTCACAACCTAGGTATGAATGGCTTCCACATTGGTGACACTGCATTTTTCTTGTTTGGTTGTCTTTGATGTAATGGTGGGTGTGGCATTCTAATTTACACGTTCTTTTATCGTTTATGGTTTTTGAGTAGCCACCAGATATCAGTGAAGTACCAAACCAAACTCAAAGCTAGGATTCTGAATTCTAAAATATTTCTCGCGCAAACTCTGTGCACAAATTTAAATATAATCTATAAATTTAAATTTTTGACTTTGCTAGCATTATCTCGATATAGTCAATCAAAATATGATAAAACAAATTCAAATCCAAAACAAAAATTTTACGGACAAAAAAAATTTTTAGACTTGATAAAATTCAAATTTTTTAGTATTGTATTATATGGATTTTATTATATTTAGATTAATTTTTGAATAAAAAATTAAAAGTATATTACATTACTATTTTTAAAATTAATAAATTTATGAAATAAAAATATTAAATATTTTATTATATTAAATATGATAAAAATAAAGACAAATTTTAAAATTAAGAAATAAATAATGAAAATATACTAATTTAAATTAAATTAAAAATATTTAATTTAAAAAATTGTGTGATATAAAAATAAATATTTTATTATATTAAATATGCTTAAAATAAAAAATAAATTATAGAAATTTATAAATATAAATTAAATTAAAAATATTTATCATGGAAAAATCATAATATAAATTTATATTAAAAATATTAATATAAAAAATATAATTTTAAAATACTCCTATTTAAGAATATTCTTAAAAATTTTATCGTGTAAAAATTAATACTCATATTTATATAAAAAATTATTATCTTAATAATTAAGATTGTATTTTGATGAAATATTTTAAATAATTTATTTTTTGAAATAATTTAAAATTGTGTAAGTTAAATTTTTTTGTTTTGATACAAAATTTAGAAATTTATGTATGTACTTTTAATAAACTAAAATTAAATGATTTGAAATTATAATAAAAGAGTAAAAATTTAAAATTACTTTTTAAATTTTTTAAGTGTTTTATTTTTTTGCTCTTTTATGTTTAAGTTTCTCTCTAATTTTCTCGTTTGCTCTCGCTTGTTTTTTATATTTTGTGTATTTTTTAGTCATTAAAATTTCATTACTTTATTTAAATAAAATATTTGAAATAAAAAAGATTCAATTATTCTGTCCAAATAGTGTATTTTAAAATAATAATAAATAAATAGTATAACTTTTCTATCCAAATACACTTAAAAGTAATCATTTCAATAATTAATTAAAAATTATTATATCTTAAAAACTTAAATAATTGTGTTCCAGTTTTATAGAAATATGAACTAACTAACTTAAATCAATATATAAATTTTGAATACTAACCTACGAATAGAGTGTTTCAATGAAAATTTTTAAATGGAAGGTTTGTAGGAATATTTTCAAAGAAAATGTTGTTAGAAATTAGTTCCTTTCTATCCTATCAAACGCTTCTTTTATATTATATATTTATTTTTAATTTAATATTAAATTTAAACTTTTATATTTATTTTATATAATAAAAAATTTATTAATATTTATTAAATTAAAAAATTATATAAAATATTTTTAATTAATTATTTAAATAATTTAATAATACTTGTAAAGTGTCAAATTATTTTATTAACTTAAATATTAAAGTGATTTTGCAGATATCCCATGATTCCTTGATCAATATTCAAGAAGAGCAACATAGTCACTCAAAAACTAAATGCTCAATTAAGTCTAATATAAATGCTTATCCCTAATTTGCTTGAAATTTTGAGGAACTTGAGTTCATTTGTACGGCGTGTCATATCATGTTTGGTCAGAAGCATTCTTTTGGAAGATGGTGTCATCGTTGGGAGATCTTGTTGTACATGGATGATGATACGACTTTCCAAAGATGTATGAATTTTGCAAGAGTTTGCCTACGGACACAAACACATGTGCTGATTAATGAAGATCTAAGGATTCATGTTAATGATCTTGTATTCTCAGTCTGAATGGTCGAAGAACATGGGAGAGAATTCTTTCAAGGAGGGTGGTGGAATCATGATTCAAATATTTCATTGTCAGAGAGTTATGACAATACTTCATTGAATTTGGATGCTTTGGAGGATGAAAGTTCAGATGATAGTAAGAAGGACCATGATCTAATGGCAGGAAGCGCAGTAAAAAAAAATAGTAAAAAAAACTTGTGTGGAGAACAAGGAGGAGGAGGAATAGGGGGTGGATTATCGGAGACAAAATTTACGTGATTCCATACCAGAAATGCACAATATTAGGAGGAGTTTGAAAGTACAAAATCAAATTTCATGGAGAATGTAGTAGATGTTGTGTGATTGGGTGAGAATGCATTTAAAAAGGAGGTTGATTAAGGTGAGCCTTTGTTGGTCAAAATCTATGAGGAAGAGAATTGGTGGGACATGGGAGTTCATGATGGATTATAGTAACTGAATTTTATTGATAAGAGACCAATAAGAGGCAAGGATGCAGTACAAAAAATTTTATTGGCGAATTTAATGGCCTAATTATTGGGCCTTCTCATGGTTTAGACAAGGCTAATCAAATATTAAGCCAAGGACTAGATTTCCTTCAATCCAATGTTACTGTTAAGGCGGTAATGCAAGAAAGAATTAATGTTAGGAGTGCATTTTGTAAGGCAAGGAGGAAGAAGCACGGGTCAAATGTTTGGGATATGTTGCAACATCAGCGTCAAAATGAGTTTATTTCTATTTCTCAGTTGTGGTCTGTTTCTAGTAAGGAGGATAGAGAATTGGCAAAAATAAATATTACAAATTGGAGAATATGTGAGTTTGGTGGTCAATGAGAATTCTACGGAGGTGCTCAATAAATTAGTTGAGATAGAGGCAAGGGATAGGCAAGAGGTGGGTGTCATTGGTCATCAATGAAAGTTCTAACATTTAATATTTGGGTTTGGCGAGTCGTTTGAAGGAGAAAATTAGAGAAATTATTAGAAAATAAGGTATTGATATCTTAACACTTCAAGAAACTAACCTTAAGGCTTGTTCAAGAGAGCTATGTGGACAAGTATGGAATGATAATGACTTTGAGTGGTGTGACTGGCTGACGGTTGGAAGTAATGACAATTTACTTACTATTTAGAATTCAACAAAAGGTAAGCTAATTTTCACCTTTTGTGGATTGGGTTTTGTCGGTGTGTGCCCAAAGTGGAGACTAAACAAGAAGCAAGTGAGAATCATAAATGTTTATTCTCCATGTCGATTGAGCAACAAAAGAAGGTTGTGGGGGAACTTGTGTATGTCTAGATGTGGATTAGGAAAGGAGTTATGGCATATTTTGGGTGATTTTAATGCAATACGAGGTTATGAGAAAAGAAAAAGAGGGAGAGGTTTAGTGGATGTTAATGATATGATGAAATTTAATCAATTTATTGTCGATATGCAATTGGTTGACCTGCCGCTTGT